TCGCCCCGAAGTTGTGCGGATGTACAATGAAAGTATGGGAGGCGTTGATTTATTGGATCAAATGATACAATACTATAGAATAAATATTCGTTCTGTCAAATGGACACTAAGAGTCATAATGCATTTTGTTGATTTGGCTTTAACTGCCGCATGGATGGAATATCGCCGAGACTGCTTGGCAAATAATATTCAAAAAATAAAATTTTAGATTCAATGAATTTCCGAATTCAGGTTGCCCGCACTTTAGTCGGCGCTCAACAAGATTATAATCCAACCACAAATACGACACGAGGACGAGGAAGGCCACCAAAACCACCAAGTGGTAGAGATAATACTACAGCAGATTCATCCTTAGATGGCAGTGTGAGTTCGGAAAGTGATTATGAGGAATCACCGCCTCCAAAAACGAATAAGACATTTCAAAGACAACCACCGCAAGAAGTTCGCTTGGATCAGAAGCTTCATATACCATGTTTTGTACAAGCTAAAAGCGCTGGGCGTTGCAAGGCAAATGGTTGTAAAAAGAATTCGTTCATTATTTGCAAAAAATGCAATGTATATCTTTGTGTAAAACGAAATTCCAATTGTTTTGAAACATTTCATTCAAAGAAATAGATGCACAGATACATACATTTTTATTTTATAATGGATTAATTTTAGTTTTTTTTAACAAAATATTTAAACAAAAACACTAGTTTCATTTTATTCTTCATAAAATTAATGGAATATATATTTAATTTTATTTTTGTAAAATTCTGAATTAACTTTTATCGAAATAAAAATAAACCGTCAGAGTTATGTTAATATAAAATAGCACGTGTTTTTGGTGTCTCTGAGGGCCGATGTCTAATATATTCGACATTCGGAAACGAACCTGGCGGAAGGTTAAAATGAAAATTACTATTTTTTCTAAACTTTGTGCCTTTATATGATCTTAAATACAAAATTTTAGATTTTTATTCCGACAAAAATTTTTCTTGACACTGAAAGGGTTAAATGTCGTCAAAAATGTGTAGTTGACAACACTGATTGTGATAAAATGTTTTTATAAAACGTTTTTACCTTACTTACCCCACAGACTCAAAATGATTTCATGCAGTCCGCCAAATTCGCAAGTAATTGATACCATAATTTCCTTTTTTCACTATAAGTTGTCATAATATTATTTAATCTCACTTTTTTTAAATTAAAAAAAAATCATGCACAAACACAACACACACGCGTCTCTAACACAGCAATTTTCTTTCACACTATTTTCCGTGTTTATTACACAATTATTCAATAAACCGATAATATTATTTTATAAAATTTTATTCGACATAAAATGCAACACACATTACAACATAAAATGCAACACACAGCAACGGCGTCAACACTGTACATCACCAACGTATATATTACAATGCACTGAACATACACCGTTAGAGTGCAATGTTAGTGCAACGATCGTTGAACATATTCGCGGGCACAACCTATGCTTCAGCATAAAAAATTGACTGCTATAACATTTAATGGCCGCTTACGTGTTAATACGTTATGATAATAAAAATAAAAAGACTCTGTCTGCAAAAGTAATTGCAAATGTGGATGCAGAAACTATACCAACATAAAGTAAAAGCGATTTAAAGATGGCGGACGCAAAGAAATGTAATCACACAAAAATCACTAGCCATAGTGAAGAATTTAATCTAGCTTCTAGAATTTAATCTAGCTTCGTCCATACGAAAAATAAATCTAGCGTGGCTTAGGGGATGATAGATACCAAGCAACGGCTCTGATTGGTTTTAACATGGCGAAGCCAACGCTTATCCTGGTCCCTATTTTATCTCAATTGTGGACACTTACCTCCCCGCGGTGTCACCTGGGGTAGCTATTTTCATTACCCGTTGAAATAGTGAGCTGATGGGTTGAGGCGTCGGGTTAGTTGCCCACACTCGGAAAACCCCTCATCCTATGAAAGAGCAAAGAAGAAGAATACCAAGCACCCCTAATGCTGACGACTCCGCAAACGTATAAAGGATCACGTTCTGCGAATCTGCACTTGTAATGTGCGTACGTTGTACTGAACAGGCGCAGTTTTAGCTTTGGCGGATGTACTAAAGAAGTACAAAGCTGATATTATGGCCTTACAGAAAATGCGATGGAAAGGGACTGAAAGGGGATGATTACGCCTTTTTTATATACGTGAATTTTGCTGCTTGACGAAAGCACTTCTTCTCCCGATAATAGTATAGAAGCACAATGGCAAAAAATTGCCCACTCCCTACAAACTGCAGCAAAAGCAACACTTGGGTGCCAAAAACCACCATCAATAAACCCATGGTACGACCAGGAGTGTCGTAAAGCTACTGATGTAAAAAACGCAGCGTATAGGGCAACACGTAATGCGATGGAAAATTATCGGGAGAAAAGGGAGAGGAGAAACGTATAATCAAAAAAAGAAGAAAGAACAAGAAAAACGTGAACGTGAGCAAATTGAGATGTACAGGAGTCAGTATGAAGTCCGGAAATTTTATCAGCGAATAAAACACCAAACCAAAGGCTTTAGTGCAGGCACATCCTGGAAATCAATCCCCTCAATGGTGTTTAAAACCATGTCTGCGTTTGGCATTCCTGTACAATGAATACGGCTATGCAGAATAACTTTAATTGGCACATAGTCAGCAGTTAAAGTCCGAAAGGACCTCTTGGAGCCCTTCGATACCGAACGAAGATTCAGACAAGGTGACAATTTATCGTGTGACCTGTTTAACATCCTGCTGCAAAAAGTCATATGAGATGCAAAGGTGCACAGAAATTGAACTCTGTACACCAAACAACACATGTTACTCGCCTACGCCGATGACATCGTCATAATGGGTCGAACATTGCGAGCGGTGACAGCTACCTTTGAACGAATTGAGAAGAAGTACTGCCAGACCCACTTTGGCGAGAAGACTAAGCTGAGACATCGCGCAAGACCAGTAGTCCAGTAGACTCGGACCAACTGTGGAACTTGAAAACTACAACTTTGAGGCAGTCAAAGATTTTTTATACCTTGGTACCGCCATAAATAAAACTAATGACATCAGTTTTGAAATTCGGAGAAGGATAGTGTTGGCCAACAGATGCTACCATTGTCTAAGTAAGCAGTTTAGAACCAAGTCCACCTCTCGCCAGACCAAACTCACACTTTACAAGACTCTGATACTACCCGTGCTGTTATATGGATCTGAAACATAGGTAGTTGCGCAAGCAGCTCTTAAATTGTTTGAGAGAAAAATTCTCCGAAAATCCTACGGGTCGATCTGCGTCAACGGTGAATATCGGCCTCGAATGAATCACGAGCTTTGCAAGATATACCCAGACATCGACGTAGTCGCTAGGCCATGTTGTGAGAATGGATGAGGATTCTCCAACTCAAAAGGCATATAAAAGCGAACCTCCTGATGGTTCACCCAGAAGTAGAAGCCCAAGTCCGCACGCTTGGAAATCATTTTTAAGATCGTCTTATGGAACAAATAGCAAGACCGACATAAATAAAAAATTGATTTTGCAGAAAATGCGTTTTAAGTTTTCAATTTACACAGACATTACATAGAACAGAGGAAATTCTATAGTTTCTCAATCAGAGTGTGTAAGAGATATTCATATGAAATTTTTACACAACATCAGGTCTGTTATAGCGAACAATCGTGCATCATTAACTCAAAAATCACGATTTTTGATTTATGCCGGTCTTGCAACAAATGAGCGAAATGTTCTGTCACAAGCAATCTAAGTAAGTAATGTTTATGAATATCTTTGAAAGCACCGATTTGTTACGTTTGTTTATGTTTCTTCTTACTGATGTTCATTCACACGGCATTGATAGCGACATACGGCAACGGCGTTAACACTGTACATAATCAACGTATATATTACAATTCACTGAACATACTCCGTATGAGTGCAATGTTGATGCCAAATTAATCATGATTGAATAAATGTTTTTTTCCATATCAATGTAATTATCACCTAACCTCAAAACCAAAAACGTTAAATAAAAAACGAATGAATTTATTGTATTTTTAAAAGTCTTCTTCTTCATCATCATTGTATTTTTTATTGTTTTGTCTTTATTACTCAACTACTTGTATTATTTAAGATAAGACCAAAAAAATATTTTTTTTTTAATTTTTTCTCAAGATTTTTGTTACTTTGATTTGTATGTTTTTGCATTTGTTTAGAAAATGGTTTCTGTTTGTTGTGGTGATTGTTAACATTTAGTGTTTTAGAAAAATAAAACATATAATAATACAATCTTTACACTTAAATTTAATCAAATGTTGAATTTAAAATTGTCAACGGGGGGAGGAGATTAAGTGACAATAATTAAAAAAAGTTTTGGTTTTATATTATGGCCAAATATTGGATGAGAACAGGGAGAAGAGACATCCCAAAAAATGTCAAGCATTAGATCTCTTTTTTTAATTTATTTATGTGTTTACAAATAATAATTATAATAAACCATGAGGAAAACTATTTCAGTTTAAAAAATACATATTACATTTAAGCAGAGAAATATGTTTAAAAAATCGTAATAATAATTAGAAATTCACTTAAACAATTAGACAGTTGTTTTTCTATTTTGTAAATATGGTTGTATGAATCAATCAGTTTAAAATGTTTGCCATTGTTTATAAAACTATTCGGAGGTTATTTAGAATTTTATTTCCATGTTTTTTTTTTTCATTTTCATTACATTCTACATTTAAGTGTGTTACTGATGTTGTTGTGGGTTTTTGAAATATTAAATATGCTGAATTGCGTGCGTTGTTGTTTTTGTTTTCTTTTCCATTTCATTTGTTGTCATCGTGGGGTGTCACCACATCATCTCTTGTAGACACCATCATAAAATGTTGATATAAGAAATGTTTAAAATGATGCTTGAGAGAGTGTGTGTGGAGAAAAAATGCCTTAAAAATTATCATATATCATATTTATTTTTTGTTATGTATGCGTATGGTTCACGAATCCTTCTAATATCCAATACGACTTCGTGTTGATTTTGTGTTTGTACTACTACTGCTGCTGCCGCCGCCTCCGCCGCTGCCTCCACCACCACCACCTCCTCCACTGCCACCGTAGTTACGTTCATCACGAGTACTGCGTTCGCGTTCACGTTCTCCTCGCTCACGATCTCGTTCGAATTTCTCATGAGAACGTTCACGTTCACGTGTATCGCGTACATGCGGTGACTTATCCTAATGAGAAATATACGTTTTGGGAATGTTTTAGAGAGACAACAATAAGTAAGACGTTGAGCAGTTGGTTTTTGTTTCAGGGGAATCTTACTCTGGCATGATATTTATCACGTTCCCGCTGCTGTAGATCATCGTCACCATTTTGCACTGTAAAGAGAATGGGGAGAAGGTGATATTTAATTTACGAATTGGTATAAAGAAGTAACGAAGATGTATTGGTTTCACTACAAGGGATTTTTAGGGCTTGTCTGCTTTTATCGTACATACTAAGTCTATGCAAAGAGGTAACTGTGACCTATATCTCGAAAGCCGGAGGCGAGTCACACGCTACCTAAGGACTATAGACCGATTAGCATTTCTTTCGTTCTACACAAGACAATAGAAAGGTTACCTAACTCGAAATTGAGAATACCATAAATTTGAATAAGATTAGAAAATCCCAACAAGCCTACATCGAAGGTTCTTGAAATCTATTTAAGGCCTAATATATAAATTTTTAAGCGGCTTCTTTATTTATTGATAATAGAATAACTCTGGTAGGCCTTCCATCAGGAACTGTATAATCTACAACACATTATGTTGCTTGACAGCATCCTGGTCTCACCGACGCTCGTCATCTGGACACACCCGCTTGCAATTCGGAGGGCATTATTTTGGGGAGTTTACAAGGATCTCTACTCCATTACGAGTCACTAAGGAAAGAAGTTCAGACCGGGGTAGCATAATTAAGGATGGAACGACCGCTGGCCTTGCATTTTGTGACCAACGTTTCTTTATCATTGCCCCAGGAGGTGCTAGCCAAAACTTTCAGAACATTATTCCTAGCCGTCACCTTCTGGTTGACGTAGTTGGAATGCGAGGAGAAAAGGAGGAAGACCACTCCAAGGATATTCAGATTATGAACGGTGGGGAAATGTCAAATTCTAAATTGGATTCTCGCGTCCAGGAAGTTAAAAGTGACACAGTAGACTTTGGATTGGATAATTTTAGATTGCCCTCCTGAAAGAAGTTGGTAATGGTGGCTAAATCGTTGGAAATTTTGCCCTTAGTTCGAAATAGCCGTACAGTCATTAGCGTACGACCCCACTGAAATATCTGGGTAGTTTCGGAAGATATATATGGAATAAAATGGGAGATAGGACACCGCCTTGAGATACTTCCATTTTGATCTTGCGATATTCGGATTTTTGCACGCGGAAATTAACGAAGAATTGGCGACCATTAAGGTAATTGGCTAGCCAACGATTGATATCGAAAACATTGGACAGATCTAAGGCTGCCAAAATGGTCCGTTCAGTTGGTTGTCGCTGATTGAGGCCATTCGCAATCTTGGAAGTAAGATCTTGCAAAACCATGTTGGTGGGTAACAAGAACGAATTGCTGTTTCAAGGAGGGAAGCAGGGACTCTAAAACCTGGGCTACTGGTAAAAAAGAGTAATCGGTTTATCTGGTTTAGAACTGGAATAATTTGAACAACTTTCCAAATATTAAGAATTACCAACTGTGAAATCGATAATACGAGGATTTTGGTAAGAAAACCCAGCGCTATTCAACCAATTTTCTTTAACATGCACATAAAAATGTAGTCAGGACCAAAGTCATTGGTTCTGGAGATAATTGCCTCTACTTCGCTGGATGTGAATGATAGGGGCTGCAAGTCTCCTTTAAGATTCTTGCATTTTCGGATAACTGCTCCCTTGATGTTCTGCGAAGATGGATGCTCAATGAAATGGGTGCAGAATTGCAATGAACATTTATTGGCATCTGAATGCTGAATGTTATTGAAGAAAATAGCAGGGATTTATTGTAGATATATGTTATGTATTCTATCTACAGAAAATTTAAAAAATGTCTCCTAAATCGGTCCACATATTTAATATAGGTTTAATAAAAAAAAAGTAATATTTACTTACCATCTCTTCGTCGTTTATGTTCCGAACTGCTGGTTTCTTCCAAACGCTCACGCTTTACGCCCCAATTTACGTTCTTTACGGGCATCTTTCTCTTCGTCGGTTAGCTTTTCTTTGCGCTCTTTGCTCTTGAGGCCGCGCTCCTTTTTCGATTGTTCACTATGATCGTCGAGATTTTGCTTCTGTAAATATACAAATTAAATAAATTATTTGAAACAAAAACACTTTTTTAAACATCAACACTTAGCACCAATCCACATAAATCTTTTTTGTTGGAACTTAACCTCAAATTTCGAATTTATTTAGGCCCTCGTCTTAATATTCATTACATTTTTTTTGTTTTGTATAAGCTAATCTAACTTTTAATATCCTTTCCAATTTTGTTTTTAATGAAAAAAACTTACCGCCATGACCAGACCCAGTGTGGACAGTTTCAAATGTTTTCAATATTTTTTAAAGCTATGTTCTGTTTGACAGACCAACAGTTTTCCCAACAACAAGAGAGAGCAGCAGCAGCTTTTGCAGGTCACCGAGAACAAACAACTTCTTCACACAAAGTCCAATTTTAAGGTTACATTAATTATTAGGTGAATGAACACACAACATCCATTCAATAGAATATAGAAGGAAAAATAGACAGCAGCATAAATTTGAAACGACGGAAAATACAGATTTGTGTCGATTCGATTTCTTCTTTTGGAATACACACAATTTTTAATGTTGATTTTGTTCTTCTCTTCGTCTCAGCTTAAACTTTGCATGTACTTGAACAAACGACATCCAACGACGAAGGCGAAAAAAGAAAAGACAGGTGATAGTTCAACGACGGGTCTATTAAATAGTGATGTTGTTTTTTGGTATGATGAAAACGTCCAAGCAATCGATTTATTGACATTTTGTACTTTTCAGCTCAAACACGACATATAGTTGATTTATTTCCCAAATTTGTTTTGGAACAAATGTGGTTGTAAAGTTCATAGCTTTCACCGACTTTTCGGCAATACAGTTACTAGCGTTGACACACCCACAGCAAGGTAATACAGCAGGTAAAGGAGGCATGTTATTTTTTCCCTATGTACATGCTCTGCAAGTTCGCCGTTTTTGTTATTGAAACTGCAATCGACCAAAATGGTAAGCCAAAATGCTAACTTGTTGACTGATAAGGCCAGCCAAATCTCTCAATCAGAATCACTCCATTTTTGGAATAAGATGACGTTGCCAGCTCCTAGATGTTTTCCATAACAGCAAATTCAAAGTTAAAGTTGATATGTTTCGATATTAAATTGTATTCCCTTTATATGACACAGTCGTGCGAATGAATCCTTCAATAAAATCCTTATTTCATGTTGATTTCAATCTCGTTAGCTCAGGCATCCAATTATACTCCAAATCTTTGTGCTTTTAAAGTGTTAGCTCAGGCATCCAATTTTACTCGAAATCTTTGTGCAGTATTTGTAGTGTTAACTAATTTTCTCCAAAACGGCTTCATATTAAATGGTAAGGATCTAATTTTCGAGATATCTTGAAGCTGAAGTTTGCAGCTAAACATCTTAAAAGCTCCATAGAACTTTGGCAGCTACAGGCATTTGTTAACAATATCGATTCAAATCGATGATCATAATTAGTTTTTCCACATCTCTCGTTATCCAAATAGGTGTAGAGGATTTTTAAAATTCGCAAAGAACAGAGTTAAAGGGAACAGAGTTAAATTTTGATGACTGATGATACTATTGGATACAGTTGATGATACCAGGTATTCTATTCAGTATCCATTCGAAAGAGTCCTCAGGGCCTAAGAAACGATGTGGCGATATGGATTATCACAAACTATCACGTTATAACAAACAAGATATTTTGAGATTTCCGTAGATCCTCTGTTGAAATTTTGATTGACGTATAATTGTCAAACATTTTAACAAATCAAGTAAACGGCAGAATTTTGTAATTTGCATACTCAAGTATATTTCTCGGCATGTTGATAATATTATTGGTTATATCTGATACATTGAAGTGGTAAGATTATTTTGTAGTAATGTATTAAATATGTCGCGTATTTGAAATCCGTTTTGGGTGAACAAAATATTACAGATGCCTGATATGGATTAGTTTTCGCCGAAACACAACATCTGGTAGCGTTTGCTTTTCAACGAAAGTTAAAATAAAATGAAGATACGTAAGGAATCTGATATAGATTTGTGAATAACTTTTCAACCGTCGCAGAAAGCTTCGGAATTCTACTGCAGCGAATCAGGTACTAATATCTATTTGTCTGCACGTTGATATTATGGGACAAGCGTCGAAGAAGGACAAGCATATATAAAATTATGAATACTGATGGCGATAGGTCTTCCATTGAATAACCGTTCTGGAATGTCCTCAGCTTACGAAGCCAAATATTACAGATGCCCTGATATGGATTAGTTTTCTATATTATTGTTGCTGTATGAGTCGTTTGATTCGTAGATACTACTATCAGATATTACAGGTGTCATGAGATGAATGCCGCGAATTTGTAATCCGTTATTGGTTGTGTTGCTCATTTTACTGAAGTAAACAGCTGTTTGACGTTACTGAGAACAATGATCTCAAAACTGTAGTAAAGTCACCGAAACAAATCACAGCTAGTTGCGAATGCATGTCAACGAAAGAAAGTTGAAATAAAATGCAGATAAGTCAGGAACCTGATCGAGCTTTATGAATAAATGTTTAACTGTCGCAGAAAGCTTCTGATTTTTATAGCGATTCAAGTGCCTGCATGTTGATGATATTATGGGATACAGCTGATGGCTGATCGTCGAAGAAGGACAAACATAGATAAAATTATTAATACTGATGGTGATAGACATTTCATTCAATCACCCTTCCTGGAATGTCCTTAGCTTGTAAAATGAAATATTACAGATGTCCTGATATAGATTTGTTTTCTATGTTGTTGTATCAGCCGTTTGATTCATAGATGCTAATGAAGGCAGGTATTCAACATCTATCAGATATTACAGGTGTCATGATACGAATGCTGCGTACTTGTAATCCGTTAATGGTTGAGTTGCTAATTTTACTGAAGTAGACAGCTTTTTCGTGTTACTGAGAACAATAATCCCAACACTGTTCTGAAGTCGCCGAAACACAACACAGATAGTTGCGAATGTTTGTTTGAAATATTACTGGTGTCCTGATATGGATTTGTTTAATATGTAGTTCAGCCGTTTGAATCGTAGTCCTCCACTGTCGATATCCTTTTTATTGTGTTTTATATTTTTCAATGGTATTTTTCGAATGTATGTAGATAGTATTTAATTTTGGAAGCCACATATCTATTTCAATGTTTTCTCCAGTTTTTATGCATATAATCAGCAAAAGTCACTCCTGATAGTAGGGTATGTTGTTACCAAAAATTGATTTCATTCCAATACGACATTTCCATCACTTGTATTCAAGGTCCATAATGTTGATATTATAGAAATTGTAGTAAAATCACATCTCTCATGGTCGACGATTTCCGAGGGCCTTTAAAATGTATCCCCAACATTTTTGTCTCAATTATTCGTTTAAATGGTAAATGGCCCTTTGGGCTAGGTTCTCGATTATGAAATGAATTTGTGCGATTTTCCTCACAGGCAATGTTTACAGCTGTCCTTTAGAAGGACGATGGATCCCAAATAGTATGTAGATATTTTCAACGATTTGATGGTATTAGCTGGACATCTTCGACTGTAAACACCAGAATGCCTATGACATAATTTGCAAATTGTAATCTTCATTATAAACGACTCGATGATTATTCAGCGTTGTGGAAAGTTGTTGTGGGCCAAAAGCAAATGTACTCCAGTTTACAATGACTTGTAGAAAATTATATGGACGGGAAAACTCAAAAACATTTTTTGAGATATGTTTGCCAATGGTTAACAGCATTATTTATATGTTTATTTAATGCTTCGAAGTATCTCCAACCATATGTATCGATAATATATACTGTAGATTTTTTATGTTATCTGAGGATCCTTTGGCAGAATATACACACCATGACAAGTTTAGTCCGTCGAAAAATTTTTTTTATGGACAATGCATTGGCCCAACGCACATATGAATGATTACCCAAGTTAATTCTTTATTGCTGTAACAGAAGGCGGTTGATTGTTGTCGTTATAGTAGGCAGTTGATTGATTGGTAAGGAATCTCGTGTGGTTGATAAAACTTGATGCAAATGATGGTCCAAATTTTGTCATTAGTATGAAACTAATATTCCAAATTAGTAATCTGTTGTTGTAGCTGGATGTATCTGCAGGATTCTTAAATATTTTTACATTTTATCCATCAATTTCCTCATTTAAGAAATATAATTTTCTTTAAAATTCTCCAGCGGTATTTGCTTATTTCAGCTTTTACATTGTGGCAGGTCCAATTTTATGAACGTTATTGATTAACATCGAAGGTGTTGTCGGGAAGCAGCATTTCGTTGTCCTCTTGAAATTTTTTCCAAGGAAATATTTTTTGTTTTCCTTAATAAAAGCTGATGAATGATTCATTTTTTGGAAATTAGATATGCTCTTTTGCTGATTCGGACGGACTATATTATAACGATCTTTTTCCTTGGATTTTTCCACTTTAGTATTATTGTTGCTCTCCGAAACGTTGATATTGATGACGCACACACACTTTGTTGTTTGTTCATTACACAGAAATCACCTCCCTCCTTTAATGTTGATTTTAATTTTTTTTCATTTTCGCTTGAGTTGGTCATTAGATGATGAAGTCCCTTAACACATATATGTTTATATATACTTAAAACTACAACTAATTTAATTCTTAAAAATTAATTATATACTTATAAAACTTTAATGTCAATATAAAAAATCCAATTCAATTAAATTGATGTATTATGTAAAACTAAATTCCTCTTCATTTCTGTTTTTGAAAAAATATATGTATATCACAAAATAAACGAAAATTAAATCCAATTCATTCCTACCCTATATATCTTCATCTCTTTTGTTGGTATTATAAAGGATACTTTTGAAATACATACATAGTTATGTACTTACCATTAAGGCCAATGGTTTATATATATATATGTGTGTAAGAGATTTGCTTAAAAATAGTATTTCAATTTTGAACAATGCAGAAAAGAAAACTCTTTCAAAATTTTTAATTAAATTTACATTAAAGATAAGGATAACGAAAAAAAAAACAAAAGAAAAAGATAATTCACTCTTTTTAAAACTTAAATTAAAAACAAAAGAAAAAATAGAATTTCAAATTAGGAATTAATTATAATTTTTCTTTTCTGCATTTTGGGCCAGCCAATATTTTTTTTTTAACTTATTTTTAACTTTTTTTTCTTCTTCTTCCAAATTCGGTGTTGATTATGTGTTTCTTCTAAATATACCCTGAGAGTTGTGTTCATTACTTAGCTTAAAACTTATAAGTGTTAATACTACTAGTACACAGGGCCATCAGTTGCAATAGTAAAGGAAACAAACAGAGCCAAACACATTTATTGTCATGTCCATGCGGTGGGTGGGTTGTTTGGTAAGAAACTTTGCTTAGCTGCTCTTGACTTGCTTGCCAGCGAAAAAGAAAAAACTGCAACAACAAAACGGTGGCTGTTGATTGTCATCGTATAGTTTTGATATTCTTGTTGTTATGTTGTTGTTGTTGTCGATTTCTTCTTGTCACTGCTGTTTCTTTTGTTGTTGTTGTTTTACATACATGTTGATGTAGATTTTGTTTTGTGGTTGTTGTAGTTGTTTTGAAGAAAATGCGTTGCTGCAGCCGCTGCAGTTCGTTCACACTCACTTAGGAAAACTACGATTCCACCAAAATACTAACCTTTGAATTGGAAGATGATGCATCCACTTTACGACGTTTTGAATCTGAAAGTGAAAGGAAAACAAAAACAAACAAATCAATAGTTTTATCCATCATTTAAAAAATTTTAATTTTTTATTTAGAAAATATTATCCGCATAATTATTATCCGTTTAAATGTTTCTATTAAAATTTTTTACAAAATAATCTCAATTTTTTTTTTCTATAGAAAATTTTTTCGGGGTAATTTTTTATCGAAAGGAAAAAAATCCGGATACATGTCGTATATAAAATATTCGAATATTTTTTCCTGTAGAAAATATTATCCGGATATTTTTTTCCTATAGAAAATATTAATTTTTTCTTATAGAAGATATTATTTCCTATAGAAAATACAATTTTTTTCCTATAGGAAATACTATAGAAAATAATAATTTTTTCCTATAGGAAATATTAATTTTCTTTATAGAAAATATGCGGATAATTTTTTCCTACGGAAAATGTTAACTGGATAATTTTTCCTATAGAAAATATTATCCGGATAATTTTTTCCCATAAAAATTTTATCCTGATAATTTTTTTCTATAAAAAATTGTATCTGGTTAATTTTTTCCCATAAAAAATTGTATACGGATATTTCCTATAGCACAAATTGTATGCGGATATTTTTTCCTATGGAAAAATATAATCCGTATAGTTTTTTTCTTTGGAAAAAATATTATCCGTATAATTTTTTCCTATAGAAAATATTATCCGGATAATTTTTTCCTATAGACAATATTATCCGCATAATTTTTTTCCTATACAAAATATTATTGGGAATTTTTTTCCTATAGAAAATATTATTGGGAAAATTTTTTCCTATAGAAAATAGTATGCAGATAATTTTCCCTATAGAAAATATTACACCGATTATTTGTTTCATGTAGAAAATTTTATCCGGATAATTTTTTACTAAAGAAAATAATATCCGGATAATTTCTCTTATAGAAATTTTTATCCGGATGTTTTTTTCTTATAGAAATAATTATTCGGATGATTTTTCCTATAGAAAACATCCGGATAATTTTTCCTATAGAAAATATCCGGATCATTTTTTTCCTATAGAAATTCTATCCGTATATTTCTCCACCTACCTTTTTCATAATCAATAACATCTTGACTACGTCGTTGTTGTTGTTGCATCGATCCAATACTTTCATTCGATACGGAACTCAAGTCCCGATCTCTGGCACGTTCGCTGCGGTCATAATCACGATCACGTGTTTCACGATCATAGTCATTCTTGTTACTACTGAGCGCGGCTGGTGTTGTTTCTATAATTTCGACGGGTGATTCATTGCGATAGCGTTCCTCACGACGTTTATCCCGTTTAGATCGGGACGATGAACTGGTTTCAATAATAACATCATCCAATATTTGGTTACGATGTGATTCACGATCACGTTCACGATCTCTTGGTTCCCTGTCACGATCACGATCCCTTGAGCGTTCATCCTTTTTGGAGTCTTTTAGAGAACGAGTACTACTATGACGATCCGTATCACGATCTGAAATGATAATCGGGGTTGGCATAACCGGTTCATTGCTGATATCGATGACAGTGGTCATGTTGCGCGCGCTGGCGGTGTCACTGCGATCTCCACGATCACGTTCTCCCCGTTCACGTTCAGAGGTGGCATTCGAACCCGAATTGAGTTTGATTATTTTCGAAGGTCGCTCAGAGCGTTCCTTGTCGCGTTTATCTAAAATTAAATAAAGAAATAATTATTGTTATAATCTTGTTGGATAATTTATTAGGTTGTCATTCCTTACCCGCTTTAATTTCTCCATTGCTGGTCTGTTTAGTTTCCGCGGGCAGGGATGGAGTATTGCTGCCATTACCGGTTAAATTAATAACAGCTGATATCGGTGGAGTTGTGGCAGCTGCTGTCGCCGTGGTTGGTGTTGTACTTGTGGCCGCAGCAGGAGCTGGCGTAGTTGGTGTTGTAGCCGTTGCCTGCACAGTTTCCGCTCGAACCGGCCGTTCTGTAACCTGATGAAAATCACTTTCCTTAATCATTTGTGCCGCCTTCGTCTTCAATTGGCCAATATAACTTGAAGCTATAACAAATAAATCCGGTCGTTTGTTTTTCTCCTCTTCCCGCACCTTCTCCACTTTACGTTCAATTATCTGCGCCAATTTAGCTAAGACCGGATAATGTGGCAAGATACGCATTAAGATTATCAAAGCATTACGAATTTGCATATATTCCTTGGAATCCAGACAGAATACGATCGCTTTGGTAATTTTATAATGCCATTTGTGACAGACATGACGATAATTTTCATAGCCCACATGATCATTGGCTTCAGAGAATTGATTGCTGACACGAAACTTGGTAACAAAGCCAGGATAGTTGGCACATTCCCGGTTGAAGGTGGCCTGATCGGAATGCCAACGCATTACAGTTTCCAGCATGGCACAGAGGAAACGTCCATAACGTGTAGCCTCATTCTCGGTGCAGGATGTTACCGAATATGTGATATCACAAAAGATCTAGGGAAATAGAAGAGAGAAGGAAGATTAATACAATTTACCCGATTACAATGAATCACAAAGGAGTCACTTCTTGAAGACTATTTTTCTATTTTTTTCTCCAAATAGGGTCTCCAAAAAATTATATGCATTAAAGATGTGTCCTTACCCTATCATAACACAGCAATGTGGAGAAATTAGCTGCTTTTAAATTGTGTATGGTATGGACAAATTTTGCACAATATAAGGCATCGAGGGCAGTGAAAGTACATCTGGAAAGATAACAGTAAAACCAGAAATTAACATCAAAAATTACTACTCAAATCGCAGCTCAACCTACCTTGGAAACAGACACAATTGTAAAAATTGTGTAATGGTTTCGTTTTTCGCCGACTTCGCGGAACGGGACAAAAACCAATTGTCCTTTTGTTGCTGTAAACGTTGCAGGATTTTATCAACATGTTCTTGCTGTTTCTTGCGTTCATCCTGCAGCTTATCCATGAGGGCAATATAACGTTCCTGTTCCTTTTTATTTTTTGAGGCATTCTAAAAAAACACAGCAAATTGAAAAGGTGAACTCATTTCTTTTATTTAGGAAATAATGGAGACCTTACCGAATCCTTAGAATCCGCCGCCATTTGTGACAGCTGTTTCAATTTGGTAATTTCCTTTTGATAACTATCATGCGGAACTTGTAAATCATACATGCTGAGAGACCAAAATGTTACAAAGAACTGGGGAGAGATGTCTTCCCAAACCTTGAGACCATGCAAAGGACGCACCGACTCAACAATGGGATTCATAATTAAATTGGTGGCCTCCAAGTATTTTTGCAATTTTTGATTATTGGTTAATTTCTTGGCATTGGGATCGGCTTTGCGTAATTGATCATATTTTTGCTAAAGTAAAAAATTAATAATTAATAAAAAAATTACAAAAAAAAAAAATTCTCACTCACATTAATTTGATGTGTAAACATGGGTCGGGCCAAAAAGAAGGCCACATCTGAATTGATATGATAATCCTGTAGCATGGCAATGATGGAGGGTAGCCGCTCCACATATTCATCTACGGAATATGAAGAACCCAGGAATGTACCAAACTGTACCAATGTATCTTGACATTGATCATAGAGTTTTCCCACCAATTTCAAATGCGATTGTGCCGTTTCCCGGTAAATAACACAATGTTTTTGTTGAGCCATCAGCAGACATAGAGTCACAGCCAAATCATGATTAGCCAAGGCATCTTTAAGACGTTGTGACGATTTTTTCGTATTGCGAACTTGACTGAAATAACCAGCCTGAGGAGGAAGAGTATATAATTTTAGATTTGGTAAGTAATGAAATTAAATGGGAACTTACCTCTCCTCTCAGCAACTCTCCGCCACACATGGCATTCAACTGTTCATTGGTCATTTCTTCGGCCGACTCGACACCAGCCATTTTTTGAACAATTTCTTTGAGGATCAGCAGGTCCAAACTGAAAGGAAAGAATTGGGAGGATTGAAATTAAATTTGGAAAATTAATTAAAATTTTCAGAAAAAATTAGATATCTGAATAATTTTTAGGGTTTAATCTACATATTTGAAAAAAAATAAAATCTTTAAAATTTTCTATAAATTATTAAGCTAAAAATATCTAAGGTACAAATTTTTCCGAACAATTTTTTTTCTATAGAAAAAAATTTTCCGAACAATTTTTTTTTTTTTTTTTGTATAGGAAAAAAATTTCCGAATACTTTTTTCTATAGGAAAAAAATTATCCGAATATTTTCTAAAGGAAAAATGTATCCGGATAATATTTTCTACAAGGAAAGTTTATCCACACAATATTTTCTATAAGAAAAAATGACCCGGATAACATTTTCTATATAAAAAAAATCCGGATAACATTTTCTATAGGAAAAAATATCCGGATTATATTTTCTATAGGAAAAAATTATCCGGATAGTATTTACTATAGGAAAGCTATTATGTATAAAATCGACATCCGGATAATATTTTCAATATGAAAAATCGATATCCGGAGAATGATTTCTAAACGAAAAAATTATCCGGATAATATTATGTATAGGAAAAATTTCTATAGGAAAAAATTATCCGGATAATATAAAATTTTTTATAGGGAAAAATGTATCCGCATAATATTTAATATAGGAAAAAAGTTATCCGGATATATATTTATAGAAAAATATTGGTCCGAATAATATTTTCTATAAGAAAAAATTATCAAGATAATGAATTCTATAGAAGAAACTATGAGGATAATATTTTCTATAGGAAAAAATTATCCGGATATTTTCTATAGGAAAACAATTTTGGGATAATATATTATCCGGTTATTTTTTACTACAGGAAAAAAATTTTGGGATAATATATTATCCGGTTACTTTTTACTATAGGAAAAAAAATATCCGTATATTATTTTCTATAGGAAAAAATATCCGGATAATATTTTCTATTAGATAAAATTATACGGATATCATTTTCTATAGGAAAACATAATCCGGATAATATTTTCTCTAAAAAAATAATCCGGATAATATTTTCTAAAGGAAAAAATTATCCGCATATTTTCTATAATAAAAAATATCTGGATAATATTTCTATAAGTAACATTTATCCTGACAATATTTTCTATATGAAAAATTTATCCGGATAATATTTTCTATGCGGATATTATTTTCTATGAGAAAAAAAATTGTCCGAATATTTCCTATAAGAAAAAATTTATCCGGATTACATTTTCTATAGAAAAAATTTATACGAATAATTTTTCTCATAGGAAAAAGGTATTTCTATAGAAAATTTATCCCGAAAATATGTTCTGAAGGACTTACTTACCTCTTTTGTGATTTCAATTGATTGGCAACATATTGCAACAGGCCACTCAGTTCGATGTTATATTTCTTAAAGATGGCACCACAAAACGAAGCCAAACTCTGCAACCACAATGATATGGATGTGCCATCGTGTTTAAAACGATCTCTATCGGCCATGGTTAGGGCCTCAATTAAACAATAACCCAAACAATCAAATGAGAGGAAAGTTAAATATTTCAAAGAATCTACGACAGGACCAATTAGATTATCATAGATTTGTATTTGTAAGAGAATCTAAAAGAAGAAGAAAAAATAAATATTAAAAATTGTCACAATAATCCAAAACGTATAGCTTACATAATCAAACAAAAAACCCGGAGCACAATGGCTGAGCTTGCCAATTTGCCTACCCAAAGGTTTGACATTTTCCTTGCTGACACGTTTCATAATGGCCTTAATGTGTTTTTGGGCCTTGCCGCGGCGGCGAATAAGTTGGGGATGCAAGAGGTAGGTGTCGTTTTTCCAGCGGGCATATAAAGCATAACTAAAAGAGAAATATAATCAGTATTGGCTACATAGAAATAAATTGTTTATTCTTATTACCGATAATGATATGGAAAATATTTCAAAACCGTCCATATCTCCTCAGCTATGGGACAATTGCAATCCAAATAGGATAGCGCCGGCAATATTGCCGCATCCATAATAGTCATTGTTTCATTGTAGAGAGTTTCTGATTCACTATTTGCTGGTGGTAAATTTTGACTATCCACACCCATATCCATGATAATGGTGCGCATAATACGTATCAATTTATACATTAGCACTGTATCATAGTGTAACGATGGACCCAATGCTATAACCATTGGGATAACATAACTCCGCAAATCACTAAAGTCTTTGGCTCGTATTTTTTGCAATAGCTTGGAGTCATCGGCTAGGCGACGTTTTTGTAATGTTGCTGCTGGGGAGATTTTAAAACATTTTGTACGATACAACTGATCGATACTGATGTGTATGAGTTCAGCCAAGGCCCGGGCTATCGGTTCATGTACCACTACCGATTGTTCGGGTAATTTTTTAATAATTCTCAAGGCATTATCCCAATCGCCTACTTTGAGTAGACCTTCGCATAGGCCAAATTTTTGATTGGCAAGATATTTTTCCTATGAAAGAAAGGAACGGTATTTTTAATTATAATGGAAAAGGGGAACTATTTTTTCACTACTTACTAAATTATATTCCTTTTCAGGTTCTGGTTCGGCGGGTTCTTTATCCTTATTGGTAACAATAACATTCATTTTGCGTACAAATTCTTTAGCATCAGCTATATCTTGTTCCCATTCACTGGTAATGGCACTATCCGTTGGCGAAAGCTAAAGAAGAAAAGTGGTATTTGAATTTTATTTTTAATAGTGAACAAGTTTTTCGATACTTACCCACACATAGATATCATTTAAATCTATCACACCATATTTCAATAACAATGAACAGACATGAAATAATGAACGTGGTGTTTTTGAATCGGCAAAGTAACGGAATTTATAACCCAAAACTTCACAAATAATTGAACCATTTGGCATATAGGCCCTGAGCAGTGGTATAAATAATTGCCAACGTTCTGGGCGTGATTCAAAGGACTCCAAAATGATATCCAAAACACGATTGGGATCCAAATTAAAGCAACCTGAAAGAAGAAAAATCAAAATAATACGAATGAATGATTCCTATTCGTCGATATTGAGAAAAATTGAATCCAATAACATTGAATGCAAACTCGAAATACTTCAATACTAAAGTAAATTTTTTCAAGGCATATATGTATTTTTATTTTTTTTTTTCTAGCCAAATATGACAGCCGTTCTTTATATGGCCGCTTTTTCGGTTAGAAAAAATATCGAATTTTTAAAAAATGAAAAATTGCCTCCTTACCAATTAACGACTTAATTATATCCATAATGCTATCTGAGGTAACATCATCCTCAAATTCTTGATTTAATTCCGTTATTAGTTTGGCATAGCCTTCACTTTCCTCACGGAATAGATTGAAACGTCGTTGTTTGTAACTAAGTAAAGGAAATATTTAAATTATTAAAATTTATTTTTTTAATTAAAAATATCCCACTTACTATAATTTAGTTTTAATTTTAATGAATTTCGTATAGAACACTTTATTCTTGACAATGCCAACTTCTTGCAGAGTATCAATTTCCAGTCTTTCTTTAATCAATTTATCCGGAATAACTTTTTCCAAATCCTTGAGAATTTGACAGAACATTAAACGCTCCTCCTGTATGCCATCGGTCATTAGAGATGTTTCCGCATCCAATACATTCACCACATCCAAGATGAGAGAGGGGAAGTCTTCATGAAGGGGCTGTAAAGATAAAAAATACATTAGAACTTGGTAAAAAAAGAAGTGGATTTTTATAAAAAAAAATTTAAAAATCTAAAAAATTTGGGTTTTTATTAAAACTTTTTTTTAATATCTAAAAAATTATGAAATAAAAAAAATAAGAACGATTATTGGCTGAATTATTTTGAAATGTTTTCAAACATCAAAAAAAAATATGAATTTAAAAATACATATTTTTTGAAGATCAAAAACAGGTGTTGTATCTTTTTAAATTATTTTTCCAAGACGAACCCTATTGAAATTGGGAAAAATCGGTTCAGATTTAGATACAGCTCCCATATATATTTTCGTCCAATTTAATGTAAATGGTGCACCCTATATATCTTTCGATTTGCGCGAAATTTGGCACAGCGTAATGAATTAGGTCTAGAATGATGTGTGTTAAGTTTCATGAAAATCGGTTCAGATTTAAATATAGCTCGTATATATATTTTCGTCAGATTTAAGGTACATGGTGTACCAAAGTCCCTATATATCTTTCGATTTGCAAGAAATTTGGCATAAGGTACTGTATTAGGTCCATAATGATGTGTTTAGATTTAGATATAGCTCCCATATGTAGTTTTGTCTGATTTTATATAAATGGTACACCAAAGGCCCTATCTATATTTCGATTTGCAAGAAATTTGGCATAGTGTACTGAATTAAGTCTAGAATGACGTGTGTCAAGTTTCGAGAAAATCGGTTCAGATTTACATACACCACCTTTCTGCAATGTTTTAGAGAACGGTGTGAATACTATTCAGACCTACTCGATATATTTAGAAGTTCAAAAAATATTTTTTTCCAAAATGTATTCTGCCCACGTGCCCGTTTATTTCATACATATTGACTTTCTTTCTCCCCCGTATATACTCATGTCCATTCGACTCTATAGCCCTGTAAATCATTTGTACTGTCTTCTCGAGCGTAAACAAATAATCTCTTAGATCCTCTGTCTTAATACATATGTATACTCTGGCCAATTCAATAATTCACATATACTGTTTGGGCCTTTAGATTTCTGTTTTTTATATATATTTCTCAATATCAACGACATTAATTTAAAAAAATTTGACTTGTTTCTATAGTAGCCATGAACGTCTTTAAATGCAATTTTTTAAATAATCCTGGCCTCAGGCCCTCTAATTATTCGCTTCGCCCATAGGGGCCAACTGGCTCCTTAGGTCTTACTTCTTTTCAAAAGCGAAGATAGCAGGTTTCACAAACATTCAAAGCATTTGTTATTCCAAGGAGATTTTACAAAAACCCATAGTTAGACTTTAGATTTTATATCAGATATTGATATCTACATTGTCAAAGGAATACAGATATGAATCTGTAAGCAACAGGTCCTAACGTTAAGATTATGAAAAGTTCCAAAACAACCAAACGATTTACAATTAAAACGGATCACCTAGTTACTACCCAAAATAACTTAGATTTTGTTGTTCGCTTTAGAGTCCTTTAAAACCAAAAAAAAATCGATACTGATAAAATTGACTAAATTTTCCACTCTTTATATCTTACATCTAAAAATACAGTATAAACTTGATAATCCGGACCTCAATAATCCGGATTATTCGGTAATCCGGACTGCATTTCACAACCCATTGCGTATCCTATAATCCGGATTGATTGACCTATTTGACTCAAAAATCCGGATTGTAAAGATACGTTACTTTTTATTTTAATAAAAAAATCGTTGCAAATTTAATTGAAAATGGTACCTATTATATTCAAAGTTCTTATTTTTGAAATGAATAATTTTCATTTTTAATAAAAGCATAAAAATAATTAAATTATCACCAAATTAATATAAATTTAAACCAATTAATAAAACTCGATAATCCGGATTGGGGTCTGCAATCAATTATCCGGATTAGCGAGTTTTTACTGTATTGATATATTATAAAAAATAAAGTGACCAATTTTTAAATTCCACTTACCACAACTTCACTCAGCGTATTCAATACGGTATCCTTTTTCAGGTTACATCGAACACCTTGCCACAATAGATCATATATGGCACTGGAGACACCAAATTTAAAATCACTCTTGGCTCCCATATATGGACTTTCATTGTCACGGCAATGTTGTTTTAAATATTTCAAACTAAAACGAAAATTATTCAAGAACACAAAAGTTTATGTTTTACAAACACAAGAAGCCAAGCGTTAGTTGTTTTTTTTTTGTAGTTTATGTGTGTCTGACTGACAGACTGTCTGCTGTCTGTCTGAGGAGATAAGCAGTTATTTGATTTCATTGTGGATAGGATGATGAAAACTATTTGCAATATTCATTTCCATTTTGTTTTTGGGGGGATAGACATGTAAGCAAATATGCCGGTATTATTGCAAAAGCTGGATCGTGGCATCCTTAGGAAATAATCTTTCTTTTGAGTATTTTTTGTGGTCAATTGAATGTGACAACAGAATTTACAGAGATTAAAGGGTAATTTCACCAAAAATAGTAATTCGGGTGCTAAAGTATGCTTCTTCTTCAAGTATAACTACAGACAAGAGAGCTAAATGGACAGACTGACTGACTAGGTAAATAAACGATTCCGTACAATTCACTCTTTCCCGACTTTTCGAAATGTTTAAACACATCCGGACTGAGGAGGTTGCCCGTGGTGGTTGTGCTGCTCCCGCCACCACCGCCGCCGCCATTTGTTGTATCCATTGCGTTGCGTCGTGACGACTTCGATGATTTGGTTGGTGTCGTTGTCACCAACGTTTTGTGGGTGCTGGTGGTGGGCGATATATTTTCCGTATTATTTGTTGTGGTACCATGCGTCGCACTATCCTCTCGGGAGGTATTTTCGCTGGAAACGTTGATATCACTTGAAGATGATGCTGCACCACCGCCACTAGCCGCCGTTGTTGTGTCTTCACCACTTTTGCCTTTTGCTGTGGGTTTTCTCAAGCGCCTCATGTAACCGCGTCGCGTTTTTTCGTTTGCACTACGCGATAATTGTATAAAACTTTAAAAGTTTTATACTTTTTGGGTGTTTTTGTAACGTCTCGGTTATGCTAAAATGCTTTTCCGTAAGCAAAATTCTGCTATGGCAAAAAAGCAAGCGTATATCACAAAAAAATTCACTTTAATGTGATGCACAGAAATAGGGATAAGTAAATCGAGATTTGACTAATCGATTAATCGACACTTTTTGTATTGAAAAGTCGAAGTCGACTTTTGATCTTTGAGGAAACCGCAAAGTCAATTTTCGATTTTGTTTATTAATGCTTGGTTTATTATACCAAAATTGTCCAAAAATTGCACATTCCAGAACACAACAACATTTAAATATAAAAAAAATTTAGTCGATTTTGCATCGGTCTACCGGTAGCTATTGTGACAGTTAACCGGCGTCGACTGGTGAATGTTTGACAACGGCGTCTGGGTTGCATATGCTTCAGAGTTGCCAAACAATGTCATGTAAAATGGCGTCTTTTATTTTGACGTATGGCAAAAGACATTTTCTTTGAATTGAATGTTTCTGATGTTTTTATACGCAAGATAATAATAAATACGTAATTTAATGATAATACCGTATAGAATATTATATAATATGCAAATATAAAGGGGACATTTATGTAAGGTTTATATACAAGATGATTCCATATCGACAATATTTTGCAAAAAGGTGTGTTTACCCTCCAAAAAAACAACCACAATAAAGGGAAAATCCGACTACAACTTTAAAAGTACCAATATGTAAATGATATAATTATTACAAGGTAGGGCCTATCTATCATATTGTAAAAGTAAAAATGTGTTTAAATTAAATATATTTGAATATACCTGAGCGGTACCGTTATATGGAAGCTATAGCAAAACGTAAACCGATATGTTTCAGTAGGAAGCCAATTAGGTTAAAAAAGGGTTAACATTCAAAAATACCGAATATTTGAGGGTATCGTTAAATTGGCCGATTAGTATATCCGATTTTCAATTCCAAATATCCTAATAGAAATTCCAATGTATTTAGTATTTTTTACGTATTAGGAATCTTCTATTTTAATATATATTCAAATCAGTTAAAATTTAGAATTATATGCAGATGGTGTCGTAATATGGGGGCCAACATTTCGGCGTTTCCACAAGTCTATGAGCTATTTGAAAAAAGTAACGATGTAGTTCTGTTTCATAGATCATTTAATTAATGAAAGCAAAAAACAATTTGAACTTTACATCAAATTAAAAAATATTCATAAAAAAGAAAAAAATAAGTGATGACAAAAGTGAAATTTAATTTTTAATTTTTGCAATTTATATAATAAAATATATAAAAAATAAATAAAATATTAAAAAAATCTTTAAAATGCAAACACTTTTGGCGTTTTTTTTCTTTCTTTTGTATTTTGATTCGCAAATTTGGCAAAGAAGAATTTGCTAATGGAAAAGCAAGCGAAAATTTCAAAACAGAAAACAAAAAATTTGCCAAATAAAAATCTGCCTGTTGAAAAGCGGACTTAATAGCGAAAAAAATCGTAAATTTTGATTGCGATTCGCCATAAAATATATTGATAAGGGAATTGACTTCTGGAAACAAGTTTTGTTCACAGACGAATCGAAGTACAATACATTTGGAAGTGACGGTAGAGCTAAAGTTTGGTGAAAACGAGATACAGCTATGGATCCTAAACATTTAGTTCCGACCGTTAAACACGGAGGTGGTAACGTGATAGTTTGGGGTGCCGTTGCTGCATCTGGAGTGGGGAAGTTAGTGTTTATAGAGGGAAATATGGATCGGTACCCCTATAAATCTATTCTAGAAAAAAATCTGAAACCATCGGTCGATATTTTAAATCTTGGTGAACATTGGATTTTCTACCAAGACAACGATCCTAAACACACCGGTCAGAGATTGGCTTCTTTATTATGCCCCACGGCAATTGTACCCACCGCGCCAAATTCCGGACTTGAGTAAGTTTGTTATATTCTGCAAAAAAAAAAAAAAACGCGCAATAAAGAGTTGAGAAATACTCAAAGCGAAACTTCATTTGTAAAGGAACAGAATTGTAAAAAAAATATATTTATATTACATTCTTGCAGGTTCGAGGATACATTTTATATATTCTTTTTTCCAATTTAATATTTTTAAACTATTCAAGCTATTTTTCATTTTCGTTCCGTTTCAATTTTACAATATTTCCATTCAATTACAGAATTATAACGTCACAATGAATATGCATTTAATTGGTTGACATGCCACTAAACAATCATTAACTCGTGCTATCATATCACTGTGAATGTATTGCGAGAAGAAGAAACAATAACAAACGCAGTGATCAGTAGGTGCAAATTTACTTGCGGACATTAAATTGCAAATATTTCAGTGTTAAATGTGAATAATATTATTAAATAATAGTGAAATTGATGAATAAAGTGTCATATTTAATAATGATAATGGAATTTCCACAAAAATTAAAAAAATATCAAAAATGTCATGGTGTTCCATGTATATGCCTTTAAGGGAAAAAATTAATACAAATTAACAGATATCTATGAAATAGTGTGTGCGATAAAAGAACAAAAGCGAAAATATCTTAAAAAGTGAATATTGTTTAATAACAAAATTTCATAAATTGCTGTTGTTTCCCTTGTTTTCATTTCTTCTTTGGTAAGTCATGTGTTTTTACTCTGTCTCTCTATCAACACAAAAACAACAATATGCCTAACGGTAAACAGAGAATTTTTCTTATTAGAATAAATGAGAATAGCAATGATGGGGTATAATTGCATTGGGATAGTTTTGATTTCTTAACAGGGTTGTCGTGTTTCTTTTCTTGAATTTCTTTTCCTGAATTAATAAAAATCTGCAGAATTTATTAATTCATGAAGTAGGGAACTCATCTAAAAACCTCTAATTTAATAAAGGAAATGACTGTATTATGGGCCGGGTATTATATTAAAATAATACTAGAAGCACTTTATTATATTAAGAATCAACCTTGAAATTCTACACATACAGTGCCGGTAAAAGTAAGTAAATAGTCATAAGGAAACGATTCGACTTCTAAGGACTTCAATGAAGAAATCCCGTATATTTTTTCCCTGCGTGAGCAATATCGATTTATAATGACATGTTTCGTAATAAATAGGAAATTATCCTTTATGTGCACTTACAAAATGTATTCCATGTCTGGGCGATACTTTGCGACATTTGCCTCTGAAACGATTAGAACCTATAATCGGGCATATTTTCCGAATCATGCTTTCCCGGATTAAACATTTACGCTATACAATTCAAATTTGCTTATTTTACACGCAAATTACTGGGTTCATTAGACCCTAAATAAATAGTTGACCAAATCCTTTCCCCGTGTAAAATATGTGATGTTCAGGTTTCAAAAGTGGCCTCAAGAGTGACTAGAAAACCTAAATATCATCTGATAATCACCGGATAATGTAGGTGTCGTTCTTGACCATTACCGGAACCTCATGTAAAAATAAAAAAAAAAATCCATTATGAAAATGTCGATAAAATTGGAGAAATGATCGAAGGCCCTAAAAAAACGACGATAAACCTTTTTAAAACCACTTACACAAAGCTGGATTCAAAACAGAGCTCGATGTTCGGGTGCCACACCAATTAACAGAAAAATAAGATGGATCGAATTTCCATTTGTGAAGCCTTGGTCAAACGGAATGAGATATACCCATTTCCTAAACGGATGGTGACTGGAGATGAGAAATATGTGACATACGATAACCCTGTGCGAAAACGATCATGGTCAAAGGGCGGTGAAGCACCTCAAACGGTGGCCAAACCAGGGCTAACGGCCAGGAATGGGACTGGAAGGGGATTATTTATTATGAGTTGTTTCCATATGGTCAAAAGCAAAATTCTGATCTATGCTGTCAACAACTAGACCGCTTACAGATACAATTGACAAAAAATGGCCAGAATTGCCTACATGAGAGGTGTCGTGTTCCACCAGGACAACGCTAGGCCTCACACACCTGCAGAGATTCGCCAGAAACTTCGGGAGCTTGGTTGGGAAGTTTTAATGCATCCGTCATCTTTTTCTTTCATTGCAAAATTTCTATAATAATAAAAAATTAGTATCTAGGGAGAATTGTGAAAATCTACTACTAGAGTTTTGTTTTTTGCAAATAGAGATCAGAACTTCTATGAGAGAGGCATTATGAAGTTACCTTTAAAATGGCAACAAATCATAAAATAAAACGGTGCAACCTATAGTTCATATAAAAATAATGGATTACTTTTTTCCCAACCTAAGATAAAGTCAATCAAAATACGTAGACAACTGTAATTATCATCGTACAACTGCCACATCCCAATATATACAACAATATGATGGGATCAATGTAAACTCAACCACTCCTCTTGAATATACTATCAACCCGTTTGTATGTCCTTCAGGCTACAGAATAGAAATTTTGTCATTGTTCTCCCAAAAGACTGGGTCCATTTGACCCGCTGTAAAATGAACAGACTGACGTGCACACATGTCTATATCGACTCAGCTAGTCGATATATTACGATCGGTATACTAAAAGGTGGGTCTAGAACCAATATTTCGCGCCGTTACAAACTTAAGGGGATACGCAAGGCTTAAATAATTGGGCGATACTATAAGCTATAATCCATTACAACATAGTTGTGAAGGGCATAAAACTGTCAAATATTATGTATTTTTGTAGTGAACAGAACAAGTTTTTTTAAAACAATCATTCCGAAATTATTTATTTCATTTAAAGAATTTTTAGTTTTCATTTTTTATGAATTTTGTGACATTTCCGTTCATATAAATATTTATTACATTCAAAAAATACAAGTTTAATTAGTTGCCTTGCCACCAAACAACCAACAACTCGTGTTATCAGACCTCTGTGAATGTAATAGCGGGAAGAAGAAACAATAACAAATGCAGGGATCAGTTGGTGCAAAATTATTCGCAGACATTAAATTGTAAATATTACAGTGTTAAATACGAAAAATATTATGAAATTATAGTGAAATCGATAGAAAAAATGTGAAATTTAATGATTGTAATGGAATTTATACAAACATTAAAAATAGATTGAAGAAAATAATCGGTGAAAGTTCAGAGTGGTGGGATTCATGTCTTTGTAATCGTATGGGAATGAGCATAGAAAAATGAATTTAAATTCAATTTGTAATGAATTTGTGAAATACAGTGAGTGTAATAAGTATTTTGCCTCAATAAAAATTTTAAAAAATTCCAATATATACGCCTAAAGCCAGCAAACTAAGGATGTAAAATGAATTATGTATGATGGACTATGTTTGTGGACATATTTAGATCGTATTTCTGCAATAATCACAGCGTAAGACCTATTGATCTCGAAGATATCGGCCGAAATATATAACAATCCAAAAATGTTTATCACAAAAAAGTATTTTGCTTTTTATTATTATTTTAGAGAAAATTGTTACATAGAAC